AAACAGTGTGGGAAAGCTTTTAGTACACAAGATTATTGTAAAATACATGAAAGGATTCACACTGGTGAGAAACCCTATGTATGTAAACAGTGTGGAAAATCTTTTAACGCACATAGAGATCATAAAGCACATGAAAGATCTCACACTAGAGAAAAACCCTATGAATGTCAACAGTGTGGAAAAACTTTTAGTAGACAAGGTCATTGTAAAATACATGCACGAATGCACACTAGGGAGAAACCATATGTATGTCAGCAGTGTGGGAAAGCTTTTAGTAGACAAGGCCATTGTAAAATACATGAGAGAACACACATTGGGGAGAAACCCTATGTATGTAAGCAATGTGGGAAAGCTTTTAGTACACAAGATTATTGTAAAATACATGAAAGGATTCACACTGGGGAGAAACCCTATGTATGTAAGCAGTGTGGAAAATCTTTTAGCTCACATAGAGATCATAAAACACATGAAAGAACTCACACTGGCGAGAAACCTTATGTATGTAAGCAATGTGGGAAAACTTTTACTATACACATAAATTGTAAAAGACATGAAAGGACTCACACTGGAGAGAAACCCTATGTGTGTAAGCAATGTGGTAAAGCCTTCAGTACACAAGGTTATTGCAAAATACATGAAAGGATTCACACTGGTGAGAAACCCTATGTATGTAAACAATGTGGAAAATCTTTTAGCTCATATAAAACTCATAAGAGACATGAAAGAACTCACACTAGGGAAAAACCCTATGAATGTCAACATTGTGGAAAAGCTTTTAGTAGACAAGGTTATTGTAAAGTACATGCAAGAATGCACACTGGGGAGAAACCCTATGTATGTCAACAGTGTGGGAAAACTTTTAGTAGACAAGGCCATTGTAGAATACATGAACGGATGCACACTGGGGAGAAACCCTATGTATGTAAGCAATGTGGGAAAGCTTTTAGTACACAAGATTATTGTAAAATACATGAAAGGATTCATACTGGGGAAAAACCCTATGTATGTAAACAGTGTGGGAAAGCTTTTAGCTCACATAGAGACCATAAAAGACATGAAAAAACTCACACTAGGGAGAAACTCTATGAATGTCAACAGTGTGGGAAAGCTTTCAGTAGACAAAGTCATTGTAAAATGCATGAAAGAATGCACACTGGGGAAAAACCCTATGTATGTAAGCAATGTGGGAAAGCTTTTAGTAGAGAAGTTTATTGTAAAATACATGGAAGAACTCACACAGGGGAGAAACCCTATGTATGTAAGCAATGTGGAAAAGCTTTTAGTATACGAACAAATTGTAAAAGACATGAAAAAACTCACAGTGAAGAGAAACCCTATGTATGTAAGCAATGTGGGAAAGCTTTTAGTACCCAAGGTTATTATAAAATACATGAAAGAACTCACACTGGGGAGAAACCCTATGTATGTAAGCAATGTGGGAAAGCTTTTAGTATACAAATAAATTATAAAAGACATGAAGTAACTCACACTGGAGAGAAACCCTATGTATGTAAATATTGTGGGAAAGCTTTTAGTACACAAGGTTATTATAAAATACATGAGAGAATGCACACTGATGAGAAACTATATATATGTAAGCAATGTGGGAAAGCTTTTAGTTCACAAAGTTATAAAATACATGAAAGGACTCACTGGGGAGAAACCCTATGTATGTCAACATTGTGGACAATCAAGACAGAAGTTATGAAACAAACTCACACTGAGGAGAACCATATGTATATAAGTTAACATGGGAAAGCTTTTAATGCACAAAGTTGCTACAAAAGACATGAAACAATTCACACTGTAAAGAAACTATGTAAGCAATACAAGAAAGCTTTTAGTACATAAGATTATTGTAGAACACATGAAAGAACCCACACTAGATAAAAAATATGTGAGCAATGTGGGAAAATTTTTAATAATGCTTGTAAACTGCATTAAAAACACTGAGGAGAAGCTGTATGTAAGCAATACAGGAAAGCTTTTGTTCCACAAAACTATTGTAAGTTACATGATAAAACTTGGGGAAATCCCTGTGTATATAGGCAATGTGGGTAAGCCTTTACTATAAAAAGTACTTTTGAAACATGAAAGAAGTCACATGGGAGAAAAGCTATATATAAAACTTAAAAATCATTTCCATACCCAGTGTGGAAAAACTTAGCACAGCTATTAATTATAAGACATGAAAAAGCTTACACTTGACATTAATTCCATATGTGAAAGCAATATGAAAAAGCTTTCAACATTTCTAGTGTTTGCAAAGGAGATAAAATAACTTATACTGGACAGAAACCATATTTATGTAAAATACATGGAAAAGCTTTTTTTAATATTAAGTGAAAAGACTCAATGGAGAGAATTTTTATATAAGTTTATTTTGATAATACTATGAAAATTTCTCAAGTATTAGAAACCTATAGGACTAACAAAATGCTTGATGAAAGTATTTTTCTATAAACTTTCCACAAAATGCAATCCCAGACAGAAATATACTAAAGCATATACATTATGTGTTTTTCAGCAAGTCTTTTACATATCTGGATTGTATTTCTGCAGTATTTAATATAAAAATATTGAGTTAGCATAATATGGTATTTTTATGTGTCTGAGCTTACTGCATCGTATCTTAGGCATGATGAATTGAAATGTATTACTTTCAATTAGAGTCAGTATTTATGTAGGTTTTAATGTAAGCCATAAATAATTTTGTTAACTGATTTTTGTTTATTGATGGAATATTGTCATTTAAAAATGTTTGGTTACACACTTCTGTGCAACAAGTTATTTTTCAATTTGAAGCCATATTTTATATTAAGATACATATTTAGTGAAAATGTGTTTTTGACATCCGATTTTTTTACTTGTAAATGAACAAGTTTGTGTTTCTCATATCCTACAATGATACCTGCTTGTTTTCCAGTGTTGTATATTATATCATATACATAATTTTGCCTATTTGTCATTCATATTAGGGGAAATATTGTCACTAATATAACATTTTGTTTCTTACCATCAAAATTGTGATTTTCTTGTTTTCAATGCAGTAACTTAATTTTCTCATAATTTTTCCACCAAAGTGACCCAAACTGCTATGAGTTTCTCATTATGATAGATCTGCAGTATCGTAACTTGTCTACAAATAAATTTTATAAACTATAGTAGTCTCTCCAGAACTAAAAAAGACAAAAAAGCAAACAAAAAGATTACAAAAGACAGTATGATTTATCAGGAATAATTAAGGAATTATTGCCCACAAATGCCTTTTTTCCCTGATGCTTGCCAGGCAAGTGCTTATTCTACTGAGCCATCTCCCTGGCCCCAGCTATTATATTTTTGGTATTCATATTTTTTGAAACAGTCTCACTATACTTTAGGCTGGCCCTGAACTCACTACTCCAGGCTTGCCTCAAACTCATGGCAATCCTGCTGCCCCTGCCTGCCTACTGCTTGGATTACAGGCATGCACCACCATGTCTGGCCATCATTGTTTTTACCTAATAAACTGAAGTAGTGGCATAGACAACTATGATGTTTGAGTTATGTGACAAAAGCCTTCAACCATAAGCAAAGTATGTGCATGAAGCTAAATCGGTCTCCTTCAACCTGTATTTTTAAACATCTTTTGATTTGAAATATTTTGTAAAATGTTTTATAAAGTGTTATATACAAAGTGCTCAATTTCTTAATTGGGGTTACATTGTTACAAACTTATGGTATCATATAAACATAATTAGCAATTCATTTCTAAGTACCCATAATGTACTGATTATAGTTTGCCTTAGACTTAATTATGCTGAAGCACATTACTAGTTGTATAGTATTATATTTGAAATAGCTGATATAAATCTGAAAATATACTACACTGCGGAATACAATGTCATTTTTACACCCTACAGCTTGTGTCTAACTTCCCTGCTGCAAATCTCTGCTTCTTACCAACACCAGGAAGAGAATGTGTGTATCACCATTCCAGCTTGTGATGTAATATTGACACTACAAGATATTTTATCCCAAGCAATTTACTTATTTATTTTTTTTTAATTTTTATTTATTTGTGTGTGTGTGTGTGTGTGTGTGTGTGTGTGTGTAGCCAGCTCAGCCCACCAGGGGGTGGGGCTGGCTGGCATGTGGTGCTGGGGGATCGAGGTCCCTGTGCTTTGCTAAACTTGTTCTAAGTAGGTGCTTTAGACTACTGAGCCATCTCACCAGCCCCCAAGGGTTTTTTTGGGTTTTGTTTGTTTGTTTGTTTGGTTTTGGTTTTTTTGCTCCGAATGCCCTCAGGGGTGGTTGGGCTGGCTGGAGTGTTGTGGGGATCGAACTACAGCAACCTGAAGCTGACAGCCTTGTGGAAGCAACCACTTAAAGAACTGAGCTACGGGCAGCCCCCCCCCCCCAAGCACATTTACTTTCCCATTATTTTACCCTGAAAAAAATCTTACTGGGCCTGGTAATGTAAATTGGTAATCCCAACAACTTGAGAGGCAGAAAGTGAAAGGAACAAAATTGAAGCCAGCCTATTCAATTTACTGAGACCCTGTGGCAAAATACAGGTTGAAGTTCTGCAGATGTAACTCAGTGGTTTAGAACTTCCAGGTTTACTCCCCAACATCAAAATTATTTTCATATAAACCACTACACATCAGTGTCCTCACTGTGTAAAGATCTAAGCCAAATGCAATGATCCCAGTATCAGAAAAGTTTGACAGGATGACCATAGCTTTGAAGCTGGGATTGGAAGGCAATTTAGATAGATTCCTTAGCAGTCTGAAGTAGTTCTCATTTTAAGTTTAAGGACAAACATTTAGGTAAAGAACATAACTGTAGGATAGAATAAAGTCACTTGCAAATCATTCTGTTGCTCAAGGAATAATTTTTCATGATATTTATACAGAAACTTATAGATAGATAGATAGATAGATAGATAGATAGATAGATAGATAGATAGATGATAGGTAACTAGCAGTAGATAACTGTCTGTGCACTAGTTGACTCAACATGGCAGAAGGTAAATATGAGATTACCACCTTAAGCAATAAGGGCAGGCTGTTTTCTTGCTGTTGCCTGCCTTTATGAACTGATATCTGTCTCATGTATGTTCTTTTCCATGGGTATCTCACCTATCAAATTAACTTGAGAAGGGCCAGCCAGATAGTTCAGCAGACTAAAGCACCTGCTTATACAGAGTGTAGCAACCAGGATTCAATCCCCAGCATGCCATGCCAGGGCAGGGCTGGCACGTGCATGTAATCTCAGCACTTGGGAGACTGAACACAGGAGAATCACTATGAGTCCGATCTGTGTAGTGAGAGCTGTAGACCCTGTACTAAATACATTTTTTAAAAAATAGTAGCTCTTCAGGTCCTAGCCATGACAATCGGCATAGTCAGCAGGATGGTCAGGTGATTGTCCCCTCTGCAGTGGGTGTGGAAGAGAAAAAAGAAAGAGAAAAAACACCAGGAGAGTTTCAACTTTCACCACCCCAGCCTTACTTTGATTATCTATAGCCACCAAACCTTCAAAGGACAGAGACATGCATGGTCTGTCCAGAGCTCGGGAATGTTTTGAGAGCCATGGGAGTGCTACACATGCAGAGCTTTCTCTGCCACTGTGGGTTAGCTAGGCTGTTGGCTTGGCTTTTCTTCACCCTTTGCTATCACGTGGAGCAAAGTACAGAAGCCCTCATTTGGTGAGAAGGGCAACTTCAACAGACTGAAGAGGACCTGGAATAGCAGCTTACCTCTGTGCATGTAATGTTGAGAGGCCCACACAGTACAGCCTCCTATAGCATCTCCCAAAGTGTAAGGCACCACCTCTGAGAGGAGTCCTGAGAAGGTCCCCTTCATTTGTATACAAAGCCTGCCATTCTCCAGAAGGTGGCAGTAAAGGAACCCCTCCCCCAATAAGGAGGGCCAAGAAGTCTGCTCTCCTCTACCTAGCACACAACATACAGGACCTACACAGTCATGGAGTTGTGGAAGCTGGCAAAACAAAGCAAAAACTGGGTAAGACAGTGCCCACATGGCTGCTGTGGCTGTGAAATGACAGGGCTGGTGATAAGGGGGTTAAGCCCATAGGAGTTGTCCCAGGTAGCTGAACAGCCAACATCCGCTCCTTGAACTGAGTTTTGCAAGATGTATAGAAAGTAACCACACAGACAGGTAAGCATATTTTAATGAACTAGTTGTGATGGTTTTTTCTAGCTCCATTTTTTAAAGAGAATACAAAATAATAATAAAAATTAAACATGATACAGAATTTCACCAAACAAAATAATATGAATTTGACAGTATCTGTCATATTGCATAGTGTTATCTTCAACTTACCTGTTCATATTTCCAGATATATGAATGCAAAATTGGACAAAGAAAAAAGTTATAAGAATTAAGAGAGATAAAAGAAAACAATGAAACAAGACAAAAGAATTAAGTATTAACTGTTCTTTTCCATAGACCAGCAGATTACAATTATCCAGGCCATCCTGCATACATACATACATACATACATACATACATACATACACGTATCTCTTTCCCTCACTCCCTCTCCTGTCCTCATCTTGGTAATTCCTTCCTTGTGAATGGATTCATTCCTTTTCACAGTATCTATCTATTGTGCCTTTCAGAAGTTATTTACTCTTTCAGGTTCTTACACTAGGGAGACAATACACTGTATGCACATGTTGGTCTGACTTATTTCACTTAACAGTATGATTTCTAGCTGCATCTAGTTTTTCTTTTTCTGTCATTTGTGATGACTCTTGCTTTTTTGTTGACACCTATCAGACTCAAATTTATCCTTTTTATAGCTGAATAATACTCCAGTGCACAAAAATATGAAACTTATTTATCCATTCCTCAATTGAGGGCACTTGAGTTACTTTCAAGATTTAAATATGACAAATTGTGCTGCTAGAAACAGGGGTCCAACACCACTTATCAAGGAGACTGTCTTTCTTCCAGTGAACATGTTTGACCCTGTTGTCAAAGAGAAGGTAGCTGAATGTGTTCCTTGTTGTGTCCCCATTTTATAATCTGGTCCACAGATCTAGTTTATTTTTTTTGCCAGTACCAAGCTGATCTTCTCACAGTAACTTTGTAATATAATTTCTAGTCAAGGATTGTGGTGCCTCCTGTCTTGCCTTTGTGGTCCAGGACTGCCTTTGATATTCTAGGTCTCTTCTGGTTTCATATGAATTGTAAGAATGTTTTCTCTAGTTCTGTGAGGTATGCCAATGGTGTTTGATCAGGACTGCATTAAACCTATGTGACAATTTGGGGACTACGGCCATCTTCACAATGTTGTTTCTTTCTATGCATGAGAAAGGGATGTATTTCTATTTTCTGAAATTCTCTTCAACCTCCTTTTTCCGAGTAGTGTAATTTTCAATATATAAATATTTTACTTTTGTTAGACTGATTCCTAAGTATTTCATTATTTTAGATACTATAGTGATAGGTGTGGTTTCCCTATTTTTTCTCTAAACAAGTTTGTGGATGTGTACAAGAATGCTATTGATTTTTTAATATTGCCTTTGTATCCAGCCAGACAACTGAATTTGATTAACTCTAGGAATCTTTTGGTTGAGTTTTTGGGGTTTATTTTGTGGAGTATCATGTTAACTGTGAATAGTAGTAAGTTAATGTCTTCCTTTCTTACCCTTATTCCTTTTATTTCTCTCACTTGTCTAATTACTCTGACTAATATTTCTAAAGCTGTTGAAAAGGAGTGATGGTAGTAGACATCCTTATCTTGTTTGAGACTTTTGAGTGAAAGCTTTCAGATTTTGTCCATTTAGTATGATGTTGGCTGCAGATTTGTCACAGATGGATTTTACCAGATTGAGATAAAGACCATCTGTTTTGATTTTCTGTAGGGTTCTATCATGAGTGAGTTTTGGAATTTATCAAATGCTTTTTATGCATCTACTGAGATGATCACGTAATTTTTCTTTTTGGCTCTGTCAATGCAGAATATTACATGCATTGATTTGTGTATTTTGAACCATCCCTGTATTCCTGGGATGAATCTCACTTTGTCATGATGTATAATCTTGACAATTTGTTTCATTCTGTTTGCTAGTATATTACTAGGGATTTTTGAGTCACGAGTAATATTGGCCAGTAGTCCTATTTTTTGTTGGCTCTTTCTCCAGTTTGTATATCAGTGTAATACTTTACTCCAGGAATGTGTTAGGGAGACCTGCTTCCTTTTCAATTTCATCAAAGAGTATAAGGAAGGTTGACATTAAA